CTGCCCCCAAGACTGGAGAGACAGACAGGTGAACAGAGGGAGTCACAACTGCCTGGAGCAGAAGCCCACGAGTGGACCACCACAGGAACCAGAATTTCACCAAAGTAATGTCAGATACCAAACCACAGATCCAGGAAACCCAGAAAACACCAAACAGGACAAACACCAAAAAACTACAACTATGCATATCATTTTCAAGTTATAGAAAATCAGAGATAAAGAAAAAATTGTGAAAGAAGCCAGAAGAAATAAACCTTACCTACAGAGGCACAAAGAAAGAATTACATCTGACTTCTCAGAAATCATCCAAGCAAGAAGAGAGTGGAGTGAAATAGTTAAAGGAAATCCACCAACCTAGAATCCTGCACTCTCTGAAATTATCTTTCAAAAGTCAAGGAGAAATAAAGACTTTCTCAGACAAACAAAAATTGAAGGAATTTGTTGCTAGTAGACCTGCTGTGCAAGAAATGTTGAAAGAAGTTCTTCAGAGAGAAGGAAAATAAGGTCAGAAACTTGGATCTATATAAAGGAAAAGCATCAAAGAAGTAATAAGTGAAGGTTAAATAAAAACTTTTATTTTTCTTATTCTGAATTGATCTAAAAGATGACAGTTTGTTCAAAATAATAATACCAACAATGTATTCAATTATGTATGCTTATGTATATTTCATACATAAATACGTATGCTTATGTATGCTTATATATAAGTGAAATGAATGACAGCGATGACACAAGGGATGGGAGGAAGGAACTAGGATTATTTTGCTGTTATAAGGTACTCATGTTACCTGTGATATGATATAGTGTTAACGGAAAGTGGTCTTGGATTAGCTGTAAATGCATATTGCAAACTCTAGGGCGATCACTAAAAAAAAGTGGATTAGGTACTCTGGCTAAAGGTTCTCATTAGTTCATTAGTGAAGGACAACTGGAAGGTTATCAGATCTCCACTGCATATTACTTGTAGTTTATTTTATATATTTATGCATATGTTACTATATAATCCTCATTCCATAACATATGCTTAAATCCATCTCAATAAATCCTATTATCTTTATGAAGTCCCACACTTAAAAAAAACCTTCCAAATATTGTTAGAGATCAATATCCGGACTTGGTTGATCCTACCTGACAATTATAGCAGACAAAGTCAGATGGGTTAGTACCAAGAGGAGCACAATTTTAAAAAGCCAAAGTATCTGACTCTGATTTTCCAAAGAAGTGAGTTCTGTCTTCTAAACATCAGTATATGGTCACACATCAGGATTAGAGAGCAATATGTGTCCCTATTTATGATTCTCGTGCTTTATCAAGGCTATGTGGACATATCTCAAACTACATGGTTACTTTGAGCTTTTAGTAGGAATACTGTCAGATAAACCCAGTAAGAACTAGTTTCGGTAAACATACATATCTGTTCCACACATATTTATTTCCAAGGAACATGATCTAGTTTCTAAGGCAGCTTAGAACAGTTTGAGCAATCTCTAGGAGCTTTGTGTGGTCTTTGGAGTTTTCAGTATCTGCCTTTTCCTGCTAGAACAATGACTAAACTCCAGAGAGAATTCAGCCAAGTGAGTGAAGGGAAACTTGAAGTCCGGGATAGGATAGGGGCAAGTGTTCTCTGTTTTGTGCAAGCCATTGATGTATTTATAGATCCAAAAACACAGAACAAAGGAGAACACAGAGCACACAATTGGCAAAGGTCACGTTCAGAAGTGATGACCCACTGTCTAACAATAGTGCCATTACTATGAGTTTTACAGGACACAAGGAAATTTTGGTTAGAATGTATTACAAGTGACAGAGTTCTGCAGTACTAGGGACGCAATGGGGCAAAAATGTGTCTTTTACATTTTTATAATAGCGATCTTGAGTTTTTGCCAAAATATTTTTTGTTTAATAAGGAGTCCTGAAGTTTCCTCTTGAGAACAGCATCTGTGTCAAGCCATTTCTGCAGCTATTTCTTCATAGATGATCCATTGGTTGAACTTTCACGGCTGAACTCAGATAAATTTTTTTCAACAAGCCTTTTCTAATGGATGGTAGCACTTGTTATTGCATCCCCTTCCAACTTTCCTCAGGGATGACTAGTCCTAAATTCCCCCAGAGTCACCCCAAAGTCACTCTCCACGCATGAGGCAGGAGTGAAAGCAAATGTGGCTGACAGGACAGAAGAATGGAGACTAGCGTGGAGAGAGGACCATCACTGGTATACTCTGCGAGTCTACTTTACCTTTGAAAAGTGGGCTGTGGAAAATAAGCTGGCTTTGATAACAGCTAAATTTATAACATTGTCTTGCCTGTTTTTCACATGGATTTCTGATCTAGAATAAAGGTAATAAAATTTTTAAATAGTCAAACTGAGGAAATAACATTTTAGCGAATTCATGCTTAAATAGCCCTTTGCTCCAAATGCACAAGAACTATTATATTATATTATATGTAAAATACAGATATATAAAAAATATAGCTCATGTCAAGGTTTAATAACCAGAATGACATTTGCCTAGGTAGGCAGAGGTAATGCTGAAGGATCAAGCTGTTTCAAAACCAAATGCCTGACTCACATTTGGTAGGGACGTTTCATTTCCTAGATACATTTCCTATGTATCTTTATGATCACTGCACAAATCAGCCATTTGTCTTGATTTCTATGCTCTGAAATACTGCATGTACAATGCAAAGGGTTTATCCCATGTTGAAACAGCAGGGGGGTCGTGGGTGGATGTTCTCCTCTTTCTTTGGGGAGTCCCTGCCCCGGCAGGACTGGCTGAGTTTTACTCCTTGGTTATCCCGGGACAAATGATTTAAGCTTAAAGCTTAAACTTGCACTTCACTGAAAGAAGTGAACAAAGAGGATGAGAAATTGAAAAAGTATTTGTACCTACAGAACCAATAACTTCATTTTCCTCACAACTGCTCCTCAGGGAAATACTTCCAGCAACTTATTTTCTGCTTAAATTGCTTTTGCTTCTCGATGAGCTCAGCCCTCCTGGGCAGAGGGGTCAGGACACTTGGAAATGCTAGAGGCAGCAGTGGGAACAGCAGGACCGACTCTTATCAACACCACTTACGGCTGCTGCCACAGATTGCCACAGATTGCACCTCTGATCTAGGTCCATTTCCAGAGGTTTAGGATTTTCAAAAGATCACACATTTTGAAGTGAACATACGATGCCTGTGATTTCTAAAAGTTAACCTTTGGTTTTCTGTACTGAAGGAGGCAAAGAAAGAAGTTGGTAATACAAAAATTGTTCATAAGGTGGATGGTACATGACTCAATGTCTGTCACTGGACCTCTTTCTACGACTGCCTCCTGGTGCGGGGGGGTGGGGGGCAAGGACCAAGTGAACAGGTGGTGCAGAGACAAAGCACGTGAGAGGGAAGCCTGTGGAGGAGTAGATCATTTTCTTTTGGCCCATTCACTCCTTCACTTTTTTTTTTTTAATTGTTTTATTGAGGTCATATTGGTTTATAACATTGTATAAATTTCAGGTGCACACTATTATATATCAGTTTCTGTATAGATTGCTTCGTGTTCACCACCAATAGTCTAGTTTTTATCCGTCACCACACACACGCTCCTTTAGCCCTCTCGCCCTCCTTCCACCCTCTTTCCCTCTGGTAACCACCAATCTGTTCTTCTTATCCATGTGTTTGTTTATCTTCCACATTCGTCCACTCCTTCACTTTGATTCGCTTTGCCACATCACTGATTCTGACACTTCACCCTGTAGCTGCCCTAGTTTTACAGGTAGTAGTCACAGGCTAGAGGCAGAAAGTTCCAGAACAGACTTAGACATGATCCAAAAGGAGAAAGAGATGCAGAGACTTTGTCATATGGCACTATGATTAAATCCCCCCCAACAAGTGAAGAGCCCCATGTACCTGACAGGCCCTGACCCCTTCCCTCATAGGCCTTGGCAAAGCTCATCTAGCTCTGCCCCGGAGACAGTCTGTGCTCTACAAACGTCCATGTGCTCCTGTACTCCCTTTCTGCAGTTAGACTGTGCCCACAGGACTAAAGCCAACCAATGAAATGTGAGCAGAATCATTTGTGTCATTTCCAAGCCAAGGCTGTTCATAAGAGCCAGTCTGCCTCTTCCATTTCTCTCTTCCCCCGTGGGGCAAGTGGGAAGCCATGCCTTTCAGATGTCTTAGCCACAAGACGAAGCAGGGCCACCCAGCCTGCATCAGATTTGGAACGGGTTAAAAATAGGCCTTCATTGTGCTGAATTCCTGAGATTTCAATTTTGTTGTTACTGTAGCAGAACCTATACCATCCTAATACTTGACAGCCTAATACTTGAAGGACTCTTTCCAATGCTTGATTTTGTGAGAGAAAACTACTCTCCTAGTAGATACGAAAAATTGGTAAACTGGAGACAGGAAAAGAACCTTGGGCTAGGAATTAGGAGAGCTGGTTATGCTTTGGATTTGGCCATGATTTATAGTATGCCTTCGGGCAGGCTGCTTGACTTTTGTGGTCCTCAGGTCCTCAACAAGAGCAGTGATTTTTTTTTTTTTTTTTGGTGAGGAAGATTGGCCCTGGGCTAACATCCGTGCCCATCTTCCTCTACTTTATATGTGGGATGCCTGCCACAGCATGGCTTGACAAGTGGTGCATAGGTTCACGCCTGGGATCTGAACCCACGAACCCCAGGCTGCTGAAATGGAGCTCCTGAACTTAACTACTATGCCACTGGGCCAGCCCCAGAGCAGTTGATTTTTAAGTCTTTCTGTTTTGCCTTTTAAAAAGACATGTCACCCTTTCTTCAAACAAAACCTTTCATGACGGCCAGTATATAAAGCTGATAAAAGAACTGTCTCTCCCTTTACACCACGACCTGCACATTCACTCCCCTCAGAGGCACATGGGGCATCTCTGTGGGACTCTGCAGACCCATGGGCACAGAAGGCAAACCACTGGCTTAGACTGCCTCTGTGGCCCATTCTGACGCTGACATGGGTTCATAGTGAAAGCAGCTGTTTCTCACCTGTCCCACATGTCACACTGCACTCTGTCCAGTGGCTGTACTGCCAGAAGTACACCAGCTTCTCCACATCATTGTCAAGACCATCTTTCCGGATTGTGTACTCATACTTGATGCCAGGGTTAGTCACCTGGAATAGAAGCTAAAAGGCAAGGAAGGGGTCATGTCAAACTCTGTCATGACTTTATACTGCAAACCACGGTCATGTGAAAATACTACACAATGTCCATCATCATAAAATAGTTATGGAGGCATGCATTGGAACAAATGCCGTTAAATGAACAGGTCTCTACCTCTACCTCTGCTTCCACCTGTACATATACATATATCTATATCTACATCCAATCTTCTCCATTCTGTTAGTTCTTGACTGAATTCCCATGGGAATTCATGGGCAGTCTAATCACACGGGAATTACTCTGAAGGAATGGCTTTCCGAGGAGTATCCTTTCCAACAACAGGCTGATACGTCACCTTGTGCCCTTGTGTACTTACTAACTTTGCGATTATGGGTAAGTTACTTAATCTCCTTGTGCCTTAGTTTCCCCATCTACAAAGTAAGGATAATAGTATGATCAATAGGGTTGTTGTCAGTGTTAAATAAGTAAATAAATGTAACATGATATGATTAGAACAGTGCTTGCCACGTAGTTAGCACTCAATGAACATTAACTTTTATTGTTGTTGTTGCTTTATCATGCCCTTCTCTAGCTCTCAGGCTGATTAGTTCCTTTAAGGCATATAGTTCTGGGATAAAAATGGTCATAGGTTTTGGCTGAGGCACTACTCTTGGGACTTTTCCCTCACTTCCCTCTCCTGCAGGCAGTCTACTTGCCACACGTTTAAAATGAATTCATCTTAAACTTAGAGGTGGTGGATTGGTTGCTCTATGGGGATTGGGGGTTCCCACATATAATAATCCTTTCTCATGTGGGCAGGAAAGCTGTAAGGTCTCCTGACATCTATGGATCATAGCTGTCAAGCCTTGACCTCCAGCTTCTGTGAGTGCTCTGATCCGGCTCTGAAATGATCTCCCTCTAACTTCTGAGTATGGGTAATCTGACTCTCTCCTAGGCCATCTGTCATCCCCAACCTGCTTTGCCACTACTGGTATAATTATTCCATTCCTTTTCTGTAGTTCTTTGCCAACATGAGACACAAATCACTCATGCTTTTGAGGAGCACATCCTACATCCTAACCCCTCTCTCCTCCAAGAGTTTCACGAAGTCTTTTGCCAAAGGACAACCACATGATAACATGTCAAAGACCCATGTCAGTTCATCATCACTGCTGGAAAGCTACCTGGAAATTCATGCCACCCTGACATAGACTAATAGCATCCTTTTTATACCTGAGGAACAATCACCCTCAAATAAACAGTCTGTGTCAACCATACTGGAAACTGAACTCAAACCTCCCAATGGATGATTTTAGGGCCCCTGACATTTCATTACGGGGGTTTCAGCAATATCTAGGCAATAAAGGATTAATGGCACAAACTAATATCTTGCTTCCCTCCTTGTTCCTTGCTAAAAGAAGGATTAAGGATTCTTAATAATTGTCCCCTGGCAAATACCTTGGAAAAGAAAATTAGAAAGATCCTAACTAATGTACATGTCAGCAGTTTCTTCCCTTCTGCATTACCTGTATCCACACTGACTCATTGGTGGGACCTGTGGCCATGAGTTTCTCCAGGTCTCCTTTCCTGTCATACTGAAAGACGGTCCCTGCTAGCTTGTAGTTCCCATTCCACTGGATAATAAATCCTCCATTCAGGTAATATTTTTCAGGGTCTTCACTCCTGATGGCCAGGAAGTTTCCAGCTCCCTCAACCTCCATTATCCGTATGTCTCTTGCTCCTTTTGGAATCAGTCCGATGTCAACATACCCTAAGGAGAGACGATACAATAATGAAAGAGTCATGCTAGCTTAGGTGAACACAGTCTGTTTCTGACCCATTGTTCATCCTCTTTCCAGCATCCTCATCATTCAGTGCCCTTGCCTTCCTCCTGGGTGGTCACTGGGATTGGTAGATGCACTAATTAGGGGGAATTTTAAAAGCTTGGACAGGAGCAGAATTCTTAGGAGTTTTGTGACTCAGTAGGTAAACAGTTTTGTGAGGAGAGGTGACATAAATGCAGATTGGACTCAGAAGCTTTTTCGGTTGATCCAGTATTTAGTTTTCTGTAATTTTATGTTGATAGTTTAAAATTTTACAGCCCCTAGCTAGCTTCTCAATAGCATTTCTCCTCCCCGGCTTGTTGCTGCTGTCAGATTAATCTTCCTAAACATTGTATAGGATACATCCTTTTGCTCATCCTCATTGCCTGCAAGTTAAAGACAGATTTAGAAGTAATTTAATCATAGCTTAAATTCATTTAAGAGAATCCTGGAGGGAATCTTGGATTGATTGCCACCTGGTGCTCTTGAATACAGCTTGTGATGAGAAACTCAGCTCCGAGCACAGCTTTGTATATTGCTGTACAATTCTATTCATCAGAAAGGGTTTTTTTCCTTATGTTTTGCTGAAATATGAACTTATATTTTACTCTCATGTGTGCTAATTCAATCTTTTGAAAAAGCACAGAGGACATCCACTTACAGACAATGATCAGTTCTAGCTACTAATTCTAGGACATCCACCTAAAGACTATCAGTTCGAGTCTTATCCTTGTTTAGTGGTTGTTATGGTAGGAAACATACTGGGGAGAAAGGAATTATCACATAATGTTCTCCTCTCTTTGCCAGACTCTATGCTAAGCACTTTATGCATTCATCCTATTTATGCTTCTTAAGAACCATCACGTCATAAACACGATAGAATGAAAAGAACATGGACTTTGGGGATAGCATTGTGAAAGGAGTCCTGGGGCATAGGAGTCAGAACACTTGAGTTCTAGTTTCTGCATTGTTGCAAATGAGCTCTTAAGATGTTCATCAATGAAGGGGTTTGAACGAGATGATGTCTGACGTCCCTCCCAGCTCTGAGATTTGATTATTTTGCCCTTTTCTAAGCTTAACATCCTTTGTTCCTTTAACCTTTCCATACAAAACTCAGTTTTAAGATTCTGATCATCCTGGTCATTTTCCACTGGATATACACTAGCTTTTTTGGCCTGACAAGCAAACTCTCACCTCTGTCACCTGAAAGTGCCCTGACTGCTCCCTCTCCCTCAGACACTAAAGTAGCATGGGGTCCTGGAAGCCAAAACCCAGGGCTGGCCAGTGGAAATTATTTGCTCTGAAGCTGGTTACAGGCCAGAACCTCAACCCCATTTTTCAAACTGACAGGTCCCATCCAGAGGTACCAAAATGTGGATCTTGGGCCGGCCCTGTGGCTTGGTGGTTAAGTGCGCGCGCTGCGATGCTGGCAGCCCGGGTTCGGATCCCGGGTGCGCATTGAGGCACCACTTCTCTGTCCATCCTGGGGCCGAGTCCCACATACAGCAACTAGAAGGGTGTGCAGCTATGACATACAACTATCTACTGGGGCTTTGGGGGCAAAAAATAAAATAAATAAAATCTTTAAAAAAAAAAAATGTGAATCTTGTAGTACTTGATTAAATTCCATTTGCCCCTCACACACTTGCCTGAGACAGCTGATTACAACTACTAATTTATAACTAGCTCGGGAAAAATACTTATCATATGTAACTGAGGCTGATGCAATTCTTAAAAATGCCTTTGGAATGTTGCTACTTGCGGCAATTTTCTGACTTAGGATGTCGCATGCCTTCTCATAGCAGAACTCTTGCAGAAAAATCAACTGGCATTATATATTGTGGTAGCTACCTTATCCCTTGTTTAAAAACAAACGAAGAAAAATACGACATGCCAGAATTTATGGGATACAGCAAAAGCGGTTCTAAGAGGGAAGTTTATAGCAATACAGGCCTATCTCAAAAAAACAAGAAAAATCTCAAATAAACAATCGAACAATGCACCTAAAGGAACTGGAAAAAGAAGAACAAACAAAGCC